GTTGAAGGCTGAGAACAACAATGGCCAACACTCAACATTAGTCTGTCTAGGCCACCTTGACAACAGATCCAAAGCCCAGTTGAGGATTATTCAGGGATAAAAGACAGTGCTGAGCCAATATCAAAACTTTCACTGGGCCACCAGAAGAGGAAGCGTATGTCAGGGACTGCAATGGTTGGTCCCAGCTACATCATCCAGAACTTCCATAGCAGTAGCGTCTATTCCACAAAGTACAGGACCAAATAAGGCTCCAAGAGTACAAGGGTGGATAGCCAGGATCTATCACTAAATCTCAATCCAAAAACTAAAGCTGTAGTTATGATAAATAAGAAGAAAATGCCAAAAGCAAAAAGAAATTAAGTAGGTTAAGAGATGCTCAAAAGGTAAAGTCAGAAGAGAGTGATTCAACAATGAGTATAAGCAGAGCCTTAATCACAATGGCTATGAGTAGCTAGAAAAAATGAAGAGAACAGGAAAAAAACCTTCCCCAAGTAACAGATTTCCTGAAAAACAGAACGAAGCAAAAAGAACTAAACGATTCAATGAGACAAAAAGTATTAGAATACAGCTAAGTGAATGAAAAATGAGAAAAATATGAAGAACAGGTCAAGGAGAAAATTATTTAAGGATCATCAGACCCCCTAAAAAACTATGACCAAAACAAAAAACCTAGATGCCACATTTAATGAAATCATAAGTGAAAACTGCCCTGTTAGAACCAGAAGGCAAAGTGAAAATGAGAAGCAACAAATCCTGAAATAAACATCATTGCCAAAATTCAGGGCTTCTATTTCAAGGATTAACCTGGGACCTTGAGTTTGGTAGACAGATTTCAGTGGGTCTGTGAATTTTTTTAAATAATATATTCATAACTATTTCAATATAATCACTGTCTTTTTTAATCCTATGTGTTTTATGCATTTAAAAACATGAGCCTAAAAACAGGATGCAACAGACTGCCAAAGGGGTCCATGACACAAAATAGGTGGAGAGCACCCATTCTAAGTCAAAGGAAAAAATACTGCAAGCAGCCACAAGGGAGGAGGAGCAGACTGTTTCAGTTATAGATTACTAGTGTTAATTATACTCATCCTTTCACCATTCTTTTTGTAAAGTGGGGATGGGGAAAGAAAGAAAAAATTATAAAATAATGATGGGAAATCCATAATAAACAATCATAACTGTAAATGGAGGAAGGTAGTAGCATAGAAGAGAAAGAACAGGGGGGTAACAGCAAAGAAGAGAAATGTTTTAAAAGTAATATACCTGAAACAAAAATTCAGGCAAATTCATGAAAGCTAGAATAGCAATCATGATCTCAGACAAAGTAACAGTAGAAATAATTACATTATGCTTAGAAGTATCACAGACAATAAAATAATTTCAATACTTGAAACATATACATTGAATGGCACAGCATCTAAAGCAAGCGTTAACCTAGGATCCATGAACTTGTTTTTTTAATACTGTGATAATTGCATTTCAATATAATTGGTTTCCCTTGTAATTTTAAGTATTTTATTTTATGCATTTAAAAATATTCTAAGGGCACCAGACTGCCAAAAGAATCTGTGACAAAAAAAGATGAACTTCTAATTTAAAGGAAAAGTTAAAGGGTAAAACAGCAAAACTATAATAGTTGGGGATCGCAAAAACCCCTTTCAGAAGCAGAGGAATCTAACAAAAAGAAAAACAAGAAAGAAGACTCCAAATAGAATCTTAGAAAAATTAGATACAATAAAACCATGGCAATTAATTACTTGATCAATAAACATTTATTAAATGCCTACTGTGTGCCAGGCACTGTGCTAAGCACTAGGAATACAAATAAAGGTAAAGGAGAGTCCCTGTCCTTAGGGAGCTCACAATCTACTGGGACAGATAACATGTAAACAAATATATACAAAGCACAATATATACAGGCTAAAAAGAAAATAATTAATGGAAGGAAGGCACTAGAATTAAGAGAGGTTGCGAAAGACCTCCTGTACAGAATGGAATTTTAGCTGGGATGTAGAGGAAGCAAGAGAAGTCATCAGGTAGAGCTGAGGAGGAAAGAGCATTCCATTTATGATGGATAGCCAGAGAAAATGCCAGGAGCCAATAGATGCACTATCTTGTAATGTGGAACAGCTAGGAGGACAGTGTCACTGGATCAGAGAGTACATAGTGGGGAGAAAAGTATAAAAAGACTGTTAAAGTAGGAAGGGGCTGGATTATAAAGGGGCTTTGAATGCCAGACAGAACATTTTTTATTTGATCCTGGAGACAAGAGGAAGCCAATCACATGGTCAAAACTGCACGTTAGAAAAATCACTTTGTTGGCTAAATGAAGGAGTCAGGAGAGACTTGAAGCAGGCAGATTGAACAGCAGGCTACTGCAATAGCCCAGGTATGAGGTGATGAGTGCTTAAACTAGAGTAATGGGCAGTGTCAGAAGGAAGAAGGGGGCATATATGAGAGATGTTGTAGAGGTAAAATCGACAGATGTTGCTAACAGCTTGGATATGGGGGGGGACAGTGAGTAGAAGATAATTTCAGGAAATAAAATCATCATACATTATTCTCAGCTGCACAAGGATCTTTATAAAACCTGACCATGTGGTAGGGCATAAAAACCTCATAAAAATGCACAAAAGCAGAAACAACTAACCACAAAACAATAAAAATTATAAACAATAAATATTTTAAGAAAGGATTAGAACAAATTAAGCCTAAATTTGATCTTAAAGAACTGATGTATCAAATAACAAATAATATGAAGTATAGATAATTTCATCAAAGAAAATAAAAAAACTTTTGGGATTCAGTCAAAGCAGTCCTTAAGGAGAAGTTTCTATCTCAACACTTTTACTGACAAATGAGAGAAAGAACACAGTAATAAACTAGACATGCAACTAAACAAAGCAACAAAGGAAAAATACAAATTAAACACAAAAATACAAATTCTGAAAATAAGAGATAAAAAATTGGGGAAAAAATCTAGTAGCTTCATAATAACATTAACAAAAAATAAACCTTAGCTAATCTGATTAACCCACAGCTAATCTGATTTAAAGAGAGTAAAACCAAACTGATAATATCAAAAATGAAAAAAGAAAATTTCATAACAAATGAAGAGGAAATAAAAAAATTAATAAAAACTATTTTTATTGAAGTATATACCAACAAAGCTGGTAACTTAAATGAAATGCATGAATATTAACAAAAATACAAAATATTTTCATTAATAGAATAAGAGAACTTAAATAACCCAATTCATGATAAAGAAACTGAACAATCCATAAATGATTTCCCAAACAGGAAAAACCCATGGAAGATGGACTTACAAATAAATTAAATAAAATATTCAAAGAAAAATTTATTACAATATTGCAAAAATAGCTCGCGATTATAGGAAAAGAAGTAATTTTACGAAGTTCCTTTTATGAGACAAATATGGTTCTGATACTTAAATCAGGGAGTAATAAAGCAAGCAAAGAAAAGTTACACACCAATACCTCTAATAAGTTATCAATGGAAAATAATTAAGTATTAGCAAAAAAGTTTACAAAAACTTACACACTATGACAGGTTGGATTTATACCAAGACTACAGGGTTGGTTCAATGTTGGCAAAACTATAAACATGTTTTCATCAAGAGGTACAGAAAAAAAGCACTTGATAAAATATTATACCTATTTATGGAAAAAAAAACATTAATAAGTATAAAAAAAAAGGACCTTTCCAAAAGATGGTAAAAACCTACAGCTAACATTATATGTAGTGGAGAAATGCTAGTGGATTTTCCAATAAGATCATGGGTAAAACTGACCACTGTAACCACTATAATTTGATATAGCCATAGAAATGTTACCTACGGCAATAAAACGAAAAACAACAACAAATTAAGGATATACATAAAGGCAAAAAGGAAACCAAACTATCACTGTTTTTGTTTTTTTTAAAAACAAATTTCACTCAGAGAACCTTAGTGATTCAACTGAAAAATTAACTGAAACAATAGCTTCTATAAAGTAGCAGGATATAAAGTAAAACCCACAAAAATTATCAACTTTTCTGAATATTAAGATGCCTTAGGATAATCCTAATTCTGAAGAGTCTTTGACTTTTGTGCCCTTAGGTGAACAGGGAAGCCACATCCACACAGCCTGAGGACTCCATTAACAGCAGCTCTCTTGAGTCTCAGTCTCCTAGCCCACCTACATTCTTCTTTGCCTTTTAGGAAAAAAAATTAGCTTAACCTACATAGTGGTAGGAGGGGGAACCTCACTAGAAATTGATCCTATCATTTTTACTTTATCTATTTGTTATATAGAGAAATTTTTGTTTTTTAGAGATAAGAATTAATACAAGATGTCCCCGGGAATTCAGTTCCAACCATAAATAATGCCAACTAGAAATTCAGCAATGTTATTCCATGATCCACCAGAAAGCCTCTAGAGTCTCAAACACTTTGGGTTCCAGGAAAAATATGGTTGCAAAGCTGAAACTTAAATAAATTGACGGCAGAACAACAGCGTAAGTGAAGACTCTGGATTAATTTGACTTGATAGGATTCTGGCCCAAGACATGGAAGAGAGACAGATTGATAGCTTTTTCTTGATTCAGTAGGTGGTGGTGAATCACCATTCTTTGCTATTGGAGGTATTATAATGTCTCACCCATATAAAGCTGCCACTTCATAAAGCTGTAATATCTAATTGAAATGCTACTGATTTTCCAAGGTACAATGCACCAAACCTCTTCTGCAATAACAGCAAAAATACAGTGGAATTCCCTGATAATCCAGTGTTTAAGGCACTTGTCTTAAAAACTCACTATGTTCTATTAGTTTTTAACTGTTAGTAGTTCCTTTATGGATTATATGTAGATCCAAAGTATCAACATATTAAGCAACATCATACTTAATATATAGTAAGCAATTTTTCAATAGGATTCATTAGGGGACATTTATGGACAGAATCAACATAGAGACAATCAGAATATATTTTGCATACCTTTTTAGAATTCTGAGCTATTTGTTTTTCTTTGTTGTAAGCATTGGTAGTTAGAACTTCAGGTGATGAGAATGATGCAGTAAGTTTCTTAGGGGTTACTGATGAACCACTTTTCTTTGTGTTTACCAGTGAAGTAACATTTTTAAGGGCTGGTGCTTCAGTGGTTGTTGGCCGAACAACATAACCCATTGGTGTCCAAGACAGCTCTGCTCAAAAATAATAGTAATTATTGAAACATTTCAAACTATGTTTTAAAAATGTTCTAGTTGACTGGCCAAATGGAAAAAGAGGCACAAACATTTAGTGAAGAAAAAATGTCCTTAAAAAGTAGAGCTGGCCAAACGGGAAAGGAGGTACAAAAGCTCACTGAAGAAAATAATTCCTTAAAAATTAGAACTGACCAAATGGAAGCTAATAATTGTATGAGAAATCAAGTAACAATAAAAACAAAACCAAAAGAATGAAAAAATAGAAGACAATGTGAAATATCTCACTGGAAAAACAACTGACCTGGAAAATAGATCCAGGAGAGATAATTTAAAAATTACTGGACTACCTGAAAGCTATGATTAAAAAAAAAAAAGAGGCTAGACGTCATCTTTTAAGCAATTATCAAGGAAAACTGCCCAAATATTCTAGAACCAGAGGGTAAAATTGAAAGAATCTACTATCACCTCCTGAAAGAGATCCCAAAATGAAAGCTCCCAAGAATATTACAGCCAAATTCCAGAGCTCCTAGGTCAAGGAATAAATATTGCAAGCAGCCAGAAAGAAACAATTCAAGTTGTGTAGAGCCACAGTCAGGATCACACAAGATTAAGCAACTTCTACATTAAGGGATAAGAGGCCTTGAAATATATTCTGGAGGACAAAGGAACTAGGATTACAATCAAGAATCCAGCAAAACGGAGTATAATCCTTCAGAAAAAAAAAATGGAAATTCCATGAAACAGAAGACCTTCAAGCATTCTTGATGAAAAGACCAGCGCTAAACAGAAAATATGACTTTCAAATACAAGACTCAAGAGAAACATGAAAAGGTGAACAGGAAAGGGAAATCATAAGGGACTTAAGGTTAAACTGTTTACATTCCTACATGGGAAGATGATTCTTATAATTCATAGAAAATTTCTCATTATTAGGGCAGTCAGAAGGCAGAGGGCACAAATGTGAGTTGAATATAAAGGGATGAAATCTTTTTAAAAGAATAAAATTAAGGGGTGAGAAAGAGGGAATACACTGGGAGAAAGGGAGAGGTAGAATGGGGTAAACTGTCTCACATAAGAGGCAGGAAAAAATTTTTACAGTGGAGGGGGAAATAAGGGAGGTGGGAGGAGTGACTGAATCTTACTCTCACTGGAATTGGCTCAAAGAGGAAATAATATAAACACTCAACTGGGTACAGAAATCTATCTTACCCTAAAGGAAAACTGGAGGGGAAGGGGTGGGGAGAGAAAGGGGTGTGTGTGTGTGTGTGTGTGTGTGTGTGTGTGTGTGTGTGTGTGATAGAAGGGAGGGCAGAGTGAGGAGGGGGTAGTCAGAAGCAAAACACTTTTGAGGATGGATAGAGTGAAAGATTTAAACGGAGAGGGGGTGATAGGATAGGGGGAAATACAGTTAGCAATGATAACTGAAAAGAATGAAGTTTCTCTGACAAAGGCCTCATTTCTCAACTATACAGAGAAATGAGTCAAATTTATGAAAATAAAAGCCATTCCCCAATTGATAAATGATCAAAAGATATGAACAGTTTTCAGTTGAAGTAATCAAAGCTATCTATAGCTATGTGAAAAAATGCTCTAACTATTGACTGGAGACATGCAAATTAAAACAATACTGAGGTACTATCTCATATCTATTATGGACTAATGGCTAACTGGCTAATAGGACAGAAAAGGAAAATTACAAATGGTGGAGGTGATGTGGGAAAAATGGGGCATTAATGCACTGTTAGTGGAGCTGTGAATTGATTCAACCATTCTGGAGAGTAATTTGGAACTACGCCCAAAGGGCTATAAAACCATGCATACCTTTTGACCTAGCAATACTACTACTAGGTCTGTATCCAAAAAGAAATAAAAAGATAAAAAACAAAAAGGAAAAGGACCTATATGTATAAAAACATTTATAGCAGCTTTTTTTCTGGTGGCAAAGAACCAGAAATTATGGGGATGTCCATCAATTGGGAATGGCTGTACAAACTGTGGTATGTGATTGCGACGGAATACCATTCTGTTATAAGAAATGATGAGCAGAATGCTCTCAGAAAAACCTGGAAAGACTTATATGAGCTGATACAAAGTGAAATGTACTGTGTACAAAGTAACAGCAATATTATAAGATGATCAGCTGTGAATGACTTAACTATTCTCAAGAATACAATGATCCAAGACAATTCTGAAATGCTATCCATCCCCAGAGAAAGAATTGATGATATCTGAATATAAATTAAAGCATACTCTTTAAACTTTATTTTTCTTGAGGGTTTTTTTTTTGGCCTATGTTTTCTTTAACAACATGACTAATATGGAAATACGTCTTACATGACTACACATGTATAACCTCTCTCGAATTGCTTGCTTTCTCAATGGGGAGTGGGGAGAGAGGAAGGGAGAGAATTTGGAACATTTAAAAATAAATGTTAAAAATTGTTTTTACATGTAATTGGGGAAAAACAAAACAGTAAATTAAAAAAAAGTTCTAGTTGTTTACTCAACATGCGGCACATATAAAGTAATTCCTCAAAGCATAATCAAATTTGGGCTACTATTCAAAATTTCTCCTTGGAAACCAAGCCTTCACTAAACTATTTTCTTCCTCATTCCATGCATATCAAACTTTTTCCAATAACTGTAAGGTTGATCTAACTGGGGTAGGAACAATGCTTTTTTCTTCAGGAAAGGACAAACAGTAGATTCAGTTAAAAAACAATAGACCACAAATTCACGTGGCAAACACACAAAATTAAAAAGCTAAAGATCAAATTGCGTCCTTACTAACCTTGATGTGTACCTTTTAACATCAGAAGCCAAAGATCACTAGACTTCAGCTATCACAACAACTGGTAATTTATCTCTTTTTTAGAACACAGGTATAAGTACAGCAACACTACTTCTTAGGTACCCATGAAACTCTATATATAGACAAAACAAAAGGACATCCATCAAGATATCAGCAGGTGAACTTTATAAGCTAAACACCTCTCAGAAGCTTGTGGTTACTCCACAAGGGAAAAGACAGATTGTTCTACATTATTTAAAAATATGCTAGCAGTATTCTTGCACTTTTCACCTTAAATCATCATTTAAGTGAGATATTCTTAAAAAATCTAACAAATCTAAAATAAAGGCAATTTGAAAGTTCACTTACAAAAAGAGTAATTTGAAAATGCAAACATATTTAGAATATGCTATTTTATTTTTGCTCTTTTAAATACTAAATTTTGTTCTCATTCTATATAAACAAAATAACCATATTAAACTCCTCACAGAACATTTTATTCCTATATAAGAATCTAGCCAAGATTGATAAAATAGCATTTTATTCCATTCAATCTCACACATAATTGCAAAATATTTCATTTTTAAAGTTTCCCTCTCTGTCCTGCTACCAACCAGATGTTTGCAACATTTCCTTTACTTACTTTAAGCCCAGAAACTCATTTTCATGATTTAAGATTTTTTTCTGTTAAAAAATTCCTCAGTAACCTTTTAGTGTTTTGGAAAACAATAAAAATTAGCTGATTAGCCAGTTAAATATGGACTTCATATAAATCACTCATATCTTTTAAAATACTATACAGGCACTCTTACCTCTTGTAGAAGAGGGGGAATTGGTGTCATTCTCAGGCTCAGATGTAGCTGTTTCAGCTTTCACAACTAATTCTTCCTAAAAAGCAAACAAGGGTATTTTTCTTATTATATGAGATAGAAATCAATCAATTTAGCCACATTCATGGGGAAAACTTACATAAAGTGATACTGCAAAGTAAACAATATACATAACTACAATGACACAAACACAAATAACAAAAAAAGAAACTGAGTGCTATGTAATTACAATAATGACTAAGCTTGAATATTTACAGCTTCCATAACGTAAAGAGGTCAACCTTATTGCTAGCATTGTTTTTAAAGATCAACTTTACTTTTGGATTGCAACTTCTGAACAAGGAAGCATAATCATTTTTTATTGCCAAAAAAGTTAAAGCAAGACAAATTACTGTAGAATTGTTTATAAAATAAAAATAATTTATTATCACAACTATGATTATAATATGTTCTAAAAGAGTGGTTCTCAACCTTTATTAGTATGAACATTCTTAAATAAAAGATATTTTCAATGCCATGAATAAGATTATAAACAGTACTTCTGAACTTTTGTATTTTAAATAACAATAATGGCTGGGGGGGGGCAGGGAGAGAAAATTCCAAGATGATACAGATGCCAAAAATGAGGGGAACAATTCAGATTTTTTTTTCTATTTTCTCAGCTTTCTAAAGCTGCAGTAATAAGTTTTAGGAGATGATTACTTTGAAAAAGTTTATGTTCAAATTAATGATAAGATATTTTGACAACAAACTTAAAAAGCACAAGCAACAAAACCTTAACTAACCTTTGATGTAGGTTTCACCACTTCTCTTATGAGGCATATATCACTAGCAGTGGAGCTCAAAGGTCCCCACTTGGGTTGCTTTTGTACTTCAGGTATGTCACTGTTCCGAGAGCCTTGCAGTTTAGGAAAATCCAACAGCTTAAGTTCAAATTCAGGTTTGGAAGAACACACATTTTTTTGGCTGGTTTTAGGTCTCCGGTCTGCACGTTTATGATAAACCTCTGTAATTATAGGATTAAAATTAAGTGTAAAATCAGTTCAAAAGAGGTTTGATTATATTCAGTCAAGATACAATACTAAAGCAGCAAAAACTTGATAACTATATCTTCTTCAAACAATTTCAATTAACTTTTGTTATAGTAAAGTTACAATCCTTACATGTAACAGTAGAACATATTAAGATCTAGAAGTACTAATTATTATGAGAATGGGTTTTGGACTTCTAGACCATGGCTCCATGGGGTGATGGGATTTTGGCCAAGAAATGAGTACACATAACGAAAGCTGGAAAAAATATTTGATGATAAGTCTTACAAATCTAATCTGACTAGCAACTGAAAGAAATTGGAGGTAGAAGTAAAAAATTACTTGAGTAGATCTATTGAGCCTCATAAACTATCCTTAATGAAATGTTTAGTGCCTTCAGATCTTTCTATATGCTGGTTGAGTAAATCCTGAGAGTGAGCTTTTGTACCTCCTTTTTAAGGAGTCCTTCTCTTAAGTGAATTTTTGTCCTTTTTCCATTTGTCAATTCTGGTTTTAAGGGGCTCTTCTCTTCAGTGGATTTTTGTGCTTCTTTCACCATCTGGTCAATTCCGTTTTTTATAGTGTTATTTTCTTCAGCATTTTTTTTTGCTTCCTTTACTAAGTTGTTGATTCCCTTTTTATAATTTTCTTGTACTTCTTTCATTGCCCACTCCCCCAATTTTACCTCTACCTCTCTTACTTGATTTTGAAATTTTTTTTTTAGTTCTTCCAGGAATTCTTTTTGGGCCTATGACAAATTAATATTTTTCCTTTGAGGCTTTGCATATAGCTGTTTTGACTCTCCACTGTCTTCTTCTGAGTTAGTATCTTGATCTTCCCTATCACCATAGTAACTTTCCATGGCCAAGTTCCTTTTTGTTGTTTGCTCTCATTTTCCCAGCCTATTTCTTCACTTTTAACTTTCTGCTAAAGTTAAGACTCTGCTACTGGAGTAGAGGGGGCACTGTCCCAAGTTTTCAGGTTTTTTGTGCTGCTGTTTTCAGAGCTAGTTCTGGGGGTTTACAACTTTTTGGTTCTTCCAAGATGGCATGATCACTGCTCTCCTGGTCTGTGCACAGGTCTGTGAGTGACCATAATCACTCTTCCAACCTGGAATTGTGACCAGGTACCTACTTCCCTGTAGCCACAAGTAACAGTGACCTATGCTCTTCCTTGCCCTGGGACTGAGACCCAGTACTGTGCATAAACAATGCAGCAGAGTCCTACATCCAGTGCCAGCAAACCTCCAGTGCCCATAATCTCCTTCCAACCAACCAGCTACCCCCCACCCCCTTACCACCTATAGGTTGAGAGCTCCAGAAGGCACTGCTGTTGATGTAGCCACCTCCCGAGACCTGCTATTGGCTTTTTGAGGCACAGATGCACTGCACTACACTGAACTCTACTCTCATCCAGGAAAGACAGACCTTTCCTGCTAACCTTCTAAGTTGTCTTGGGCTGGAACGTTGTTTCACCCCTACTTTTTGTTAGTTCTGCTGCTCCAGAATTTGTTTTGAGGTATTATTATGAAGTTGTTTGAAGGGAATTTGGGAGAGCTAACATGAGTTCCTGCTTTTACTCTGCCATCTTGGCTCTGCGTCTCCAATGGTAGCTATTTCTAAAGGCAGAGATGGAATGCTTATCCAATTAAACTCAATACTCAAAATTGAACTCATTATATCTTCACAGAATAGTGAAGATACAAAGGTATGGTAGAAGAGGGAGGTTTTAAGTCATCTGAAAAAACTGAAGGATAAAGTTGGAATAATAATTCCCACTGATCAAAATTAAATGATTGAGGTTTAGATATGAAACCTTTTTCACAGTGAGCTAGAAAAATCAGCTATAACCCAGTGAGAAATGAGCTCATTGATCTCCATAATAACTAGAAAATCCAAATTAATTCCCTATCAATCAACATTTCTTTTAAAACTGGAGAAACATATCCCTTCCTTACTATGCTCACAAGACTTAATTTCATTCACCACTTAACTCTTTGAATAAGGATTCTCAGTCAAACACAAAGCAATAAACAAAGCGGAGGTTGATCATGATAACTTAAGTTTTTATTTTTCAAAAATTATACTGAGAATAAAATTGTTGCTTGAAAAGAAAAGGAATGGATGCTCTCACTAATTTGACTATGAAAGACATTTAGAAACTTCCTGATATGTGCCTTTCATTTTATAAATTTCATATTTAAGTACTGCAGGGGGAAGGGAACAAGCATTTATCAAGTGTCTACTATGTGCTAGGTACATAAGAAGCTTAATGATTTAAAAAATGTTGTGTGTGTAGTAAGTTTCTTTATGAAATCTTTACTTTTCACATAGGAAATTCTACAATGTACTTCATATTGAACAGGAGGTAAAGTTTACTGAAAGGCAAGAGGCTGGGGATTAAAGAAGGTTAGGAACCCCTGTGTATATAAGCTAGAGCTGGCCTCAAGAGTCAAGCAGATCTGGATTTAAATCTCACCTCAACCACACAAGGATTATATGATGGCACACAAGTCACTCTCAGTGCCCCAGGCAATTGTCTAAAACAATAAGGTGAAGAAAAGGTGCAGATTTGCTTTATAGCAAAAGAAATTCTTCACCAGAAACCTGCTATACTGATGAAATCAAAAGTCAGACAAAATCTTAGTCCGTGAGCACATGTGTATTCCTAAAATCATCTAGCTTCTAATAGACTTGAGATTTCAAATAAAAGCAACTAGCACATTACTTTCGATCACTACCTACATTCTTTGCCATACTTTAAAAAGTCCCTAGATGGAAAATTAGGAAATATGATACTTTGCTCCCATGGTCAAATTTACAATGCAGTTGAGTCCAGAGTGCTCTGCACCAGCCAAATCATTGATTAAAACAGCTATAGCATCAATTCTTCCATTAGAAACTGCCAGGATGACCACAAATGCTTCATCATATTACTTACTAATATGATGAACAATAATTTTTGTCATTCACTCCAGTATAGTCCCTGTAAGAAGAAATGGCATCAGGAAGGTAAAGAAGCATAAAACTGCTCAATGGAAAAAGAATTACCAAACCTCACACACCTTCAATGAACAAGGGACATTAGTCTAGGTCAAATGGCCTGTTTAAGTCCTGCAAGCAATCTCTACCCATTGTTATTCTGTTGCTTGTATTTTGGGTTAATGTTGATGGCTAATTACTTTTTACCTGATTTTGAACCACCTTCAGAGTAGGTATAAATCTGATGGGAACCTTTAGCTGGTTTTATAGCAGAGAATGAATTTCCTTCAGTCACTTTACTGTTTAATTTTTGCTCATTACATGTCATTCTTTTCTGCAGGAAAGATTAAAGTGACATGAAATCAGAAAAATACTCATATAAAATATTTTAAACTATACATTGTCAAGAAAAGTCATTTTAAAAGATCACAATAAATTATTTTTAAGAAAATTAAATATTAGCTTAAGGTCCAATTTAAAATACTCAACAAAAGGGATAAACAATGCCTGTGCTATAAGTAGTACTTACCAGATTTTTATAAATATTATAATTACAAATTAAAAAACATAATAAAAATACAGCCTCTACTAACCTTAAATAGGCTTTTAGTTTCTTGTGGGACAGAACAAATTTGTTCATCTCTGGATTTAACTATTTGCACATTACTATAACATTTAGGGTGGTTATAATCATACTGTGAGCCAGGTACTGAACAAACACTTTGTGTAGACACAGGTGAATGAGAAGAGGTGCACTGATGATCAACAGCAATATCAGCAGATGAATACTGAGATGAGAAAGGTGAAGAAGATCCAAGAGAGACATCTTCGGTATAAGCCTTCTGTCTAAATAAAAATTGTATACTTTAAATGAAGATTTTACATAACAAAGCAAGTAGAGATTAATATTTAATAAACAGGAAATAATTATGACCTTTTTACTTAAGAGTTCTAGATTTCTGAAATCTCTAGAAAATTTTAAATTCTAGCCGTTAAATACTCCTAGCCAACAGGGTTAACTACTTCATAAACATTTTAGAATTTCTTATTTTTCAAATCTTTTTTTTCTGTACACTGTATAAATTTAGCCAATTTCATGTACAGAATATATTCTTATGGAGGAAAGGTTTTTCTTTCAGATGCATTTAACAAAAAAAATTACTCATAATTCTCTTTAGACATTATGTGCTTTTAAATGACAGATTTGTTCTGGGAATAATGGGGGGGAGAAGCAAGGAATCTTAATAAATAATGCAACTACTTCATAGATTATAATAAATTATGAAATAAAAAACACCACTAAATACAGGCATATTTAATATTCCATAAAAAAAGACTACAGGATCACTAGATCATACAATTCCATCAGAATCATAGTTGTCTCAAAACTCAGAATCATAGTTGTCTCAAGATAACACTTTGCTATAATAAATTCTGCTTTAGCCAGGAAAATGTCCAGGTATCTCATAATGAGTACGGGAAAAGTCTTGGAGCCCATCACTGCTACCTATCCCAAAGCCAACAAGACGAAAAATCTAAAGTGCAACAACCAGTAACAGTATCTGTCATGGGCTCTCCAAAATACCTCAACTCAAAGGTTCTCCCAAGTTTGTTTTTTAATAGTAAATATGGTAGAGTTGAGAGTTCTCCTAAATTACCCACTTTTCCACATAACCTTCTCCTGCTCCAACTCTACATTATACTATACTTATGGCTTGTGAACTGCAGCCTGTAATCAATATAGAAACAAAACAACATCAAGCAGAATGTAATAGGGTTATTTTTGCCCAATAAAACACTGGCACTTGGTACAAATCAACACTAACCATTTGTTTTAAGATGGCTGACTAACCCTCACCCAGTATGTCCTCTATACACATTACAACATCTTACAGATATTTTGTTGAGAATCATTAAAATTACAGAAGAAAAGTCATTGAAAATTTTCCCTGGATGCCATTTTGTCTCAAGATGACAGACTAAATTACAACTTCAACTCATATATCAATATCTACCTTTTAGTAATAGAGTAAATTTGACTAAAAATGAGTCAAAAGTTATTGCAGAATAAACAAGTAAACTAAATCTGGTTTAGATACTAATATAATTTTTCTTTATAGCAAGTGACAGTCATATAGAAAGGTACTAAAAAAAATTCATCCTGAGTTAACCATAGCAAAGGATTTCTGATAATAAACCAGTAAAATAATATTGTCATTGGCCAGGAATTAATTAGAAACCCAAGTAAAAATCCCATCCTGAAGTTCAAAAGCTCTATAAATTATTTTTTGGTAGTATGATAATGCTATTATAAATACATGACTAGAAACTGCAAACAGTTTGCAAGACATGGGGAAAGAAGAGAGCTGATACTGAGTCTTCCTAAAATGAATTAACAAAAATTACTTACAGTCTGAACCATTCATTTTGGCACTTAATCAAACACTGTGACATGCTTATTTGAAGTCTTATTTAAAAACATTATTTAACATATTTAAAACACTCTTTTAAGGTAAGGTACACTTCTTTTGCAATTCATCCTCTTCCATACCCAAACTGATAACCTAGTAAGATCCTCAACATAGAAACCACATGAATCAAAAAAGTGCTGCAGGTTTAGGACAAAAAGAAAGGCATCACAGGCTTCCATATTCCCCAAACTAATTCCTTTACTGAAATCTTGCATCTTTGTATGCCCCGGTTTAGTTTTAGTACATATTATCAAGTTTTAAAAAAGAGTTCATGTGACAGTGGGGTGTTATGCGGGTAAGAAAAAGCTGAATATATAAGAAAAGGACAAAAGAACAAAAAGAATCTAGCCACAACCATATAGTGGAAAGAACACTGACCTAAAAGTCAGACCTGTGCTCTAGTTTGGACTCTTAACCTTTATTTAGCTGTGCAACTTTGGATAAATCACTTAGACTCTCTGGACTTCAATTTATTCTTTAAATGAGGGAGTTAGCTAAGTTGCATTCTAGCTCTAAATATCTATTCCTCTAGTCTTAGGGGAAGTGATATCTCTTCTCTAAAATTAAAAACTCCAACTATCTGTTAGATTCCATCCCTTCAAACACCTAACAGACTTGGAAAGGAATAAAAAGCCCAATGTTCACAAACACCATCCTCTTCCTCTAGAGACTACTTAGCTTCTGCTTTTAAACATGTATGTTCCCCACAACTTTCAAAAATTCATCATTTAACTAAGCTGCTCCCATTTTCTTATTTTTTGCATACACTGCCTTCAGGACAATCTGGCTTCCATTCCCAATTTCTTCAAACCCCAAACTATGAAAATTTTATTCTTAAAGGCTTTCCACTTCCTAACCCCTCAATTTTTCCCTAAGGTTCAGTTCTCAACTCTTCTCTTTCCCTATCAAAGCTCATCCTTTCAAATTATTTAAATCTCAAATATACTCTCTCAAAATCAAAGTCCATGCTCTAAACTGCTTAATAGTATTTCTATTTAAATGTTTAGCTTGCAGCTCTAACCTCAACAATTTTAAAGTGGAAATCACTCTCATCCTAAGTTCTGGATGAGGAAAGCTACATCTGTGTTTATATAAATTGTATATTGTAGTCAGTTTAGTAAATAAAATAAAATGTTGATGAGGGCACAGAGTAGATTAAACAGAAAGATGAAGATAAAAAGATGGATGTAAAAAAATTAGAAGAAATGGTATAGATATGAAGGATGGAGAAGATAATTTTAAGGTTTACAAACATTTAGAAAGGGAAGTGTAATTATAGTACGGCAACAGTTTTAAGAACAGGCCCTTCAAAATCAACAATTTCCTTTATGGATAGACTTACTAAAGAGGTAGGTAGGGAGAATGCTATATTCTGACAAAGTTCCACATGCTATTTTTATGGACAATATGGGAAGAAATGTGCCTAGATAGTATAATTTGGAATTGTCCAAATAACTAGATCCAAAAGTGGTCATTAATATACTGATGTCAACTGAGAGGGCCCCAGGAATCCCTTTCTTGGCCCTAAGTTGTTCAGCATTTTTAACAATGACTTGGATGAAAACTTTAAGAGTAAACTCATTAAATTCGAAAATGACACAAAGCTGGGATGGCCAGTTAATCCACAGGATGAATTTCAGAAGGCAGAACAGCAGAACTTGAAGCAATGGAATGGTTTTGAATTACAGCTAGGTTTAACACAAGCAAAAACTTCCTAACAATTAGAGCTTTTTCAAGGTGGGAGATAAGGTTTCCCATCACTGGAAGTCTTCACAAGCAAAAAATGAGATGCCTACTTCTCAGAAATGTAGAGGGACTTCCTGTTCAAGCAGACTGGATTAAATGACCAAGATTCCTGACTTCTCAATTCTGAGACTCTGTAACTAGATTAACTAAGCTATGAGCTGGAAGATAAAAATTATTCATAGAACACGTTTTTATAATGATGTTGTTGATATATTATAAACACAATTAGAATCCCATTTTAATAAATACCACTTTCAAAGTCTGGTTCTATATAAGATGGTTATTTCCATGCCCTGGCCCATAGAAAATGGTTTAATGCAAACACAATGGGTTTTAACAGTTACACATCGTTCATGCGGAAGTCAATCTTGATGACAAAATAGAAGGGCAGGCATACTAATGATCATCTCTGTATTCCCATACAGTGGATGATGTAATTGTTGCACTCAAATCATTGATGAGTTAATAACATACTTGAATGCAATGAGGCATTTTTCAAAACAGTGGAGTTTGTTCCCCTATGTTCACAAATGAAGTAGAAGGGAGAAGGCAGAGGTCCCTTCTAACTCTCTGATTTAGTGTTTCCAGCCTATACTGCTTTTTGTTAGTAAGACTGTCTAAAAATCTTTCTTTTGCTAGTTAATTAGAGAGAGAGAGAGAGAGAGAGAGAGAGAGAGAGAGAGAGAGAGAGAGAGAGAGAGAGAGAGAGAGACTGACCTTGAACTAATAAGAGGTAAAGTGAATAGGAAGAAAATAGTGCTCAAGTTCACTGTGACCCACCTATGGACTCATTCATTTGATTTTTCAGACTCAGATGCTCTGCTAAATGTTACACTTTGTTTTAAGTAAATGTTTCCCTCCTCCACAGTAGCTCAGATGGGAGCCTCAATACACGCTTCCTCAGACTTCTGTAATAATGGTCCCCACACGAATTTAAATTGAGAGCAATCCTACACCAAACTTCCCTATGGGGTGATGCCACATCAATAAATGCACACACAGAAATAGCTTCAATCTCTTTAAAGGTAATTTGGAAAACACACAGCTTTTAATATTATTTCATTATTAAATATATCAACTCTTATCCTATAACTTCAAATCTTCAAATACAAAGTTCTTATGTCAGTAATTCAAAACTGATTTTGTTGGCATTGGTATTTCCTTCACTGGTACAGATCACAATCTCTTTACAGACTCGTAGATGGTCTTCAAGAAATGCTGCAGGTGGAAAATTCCTCATCCTATAGCCAACCTAGTAAAAAAACCTCTCCAAACTTAGCTAGGCTGGACTTAGAACACAGGCCTGTACTCACAGACTTCACAGGCTGTTACAACCAGCCAGAGCAAGTCCACCATCAGCACGGTTTTTGAGACTTAAGGAATACACCTCTTTGCCACAATGAGGTATTATAATAGGACCTTAATGAAAGGAAAATTTCAAACAATATATACATTCTGAAAAACTGTTGTATTTTTTAGATAAGAAATTTTGCCCTTTCCACTAAAACAATCACCAAAGTAGAGACTGAGGAAAAATGATTCACAGATCGCATGAGTACACAATGAAGCAGTGTACATGAATGAGTCATATATATATATATGTATATATGTATATATGTGTATGTGTGTGTATCTATATCTATATCTATATATATATATAAAAAACTGACCCAGACCATAACCTTGTAAATCTAGCATTAAGAGATAGGTTGGCAATTATTTTATTGAATTTAAGTGCCATGGACAGTCACTCTGGGTGAGATGCCTAGATTAATTTTTTTTAAAATAGTTTTTAAAAGACTGTAGCTTCTTTTCTATCCATTCAAAATTTGTATAACTATAAACAAAATGTTTTAAAATGAAAATATGGATCATAGCTTAACAATGTAAAAATTTTCAAAGTTTCTGCTTGCAATTACTGGTAATCCCCAACAAGCAACTCACTACTGCCTCTACTTGACTCAGAGAGTTCTCTCCAGGGGCCCCCAGAAAATTTGCACCTCCCCCTCCCCCCCAACTCTCACAGTAGAAAAAAGTCATACCATAATTAGTACTACAATTACATTTGCTATACTATAGGCTAAATAGGCTTTTGGGTCCACTCTATTCAGCAAAATGAGAACATTATTTCTAATGTTCTTCAGAGCCTTCAAGAATGAAATACTCTTTCTAAAGTAGGGATTACCAAACTGATGAAAATCCCAAAATCTTGGGAGTTCATTAACCTTATTTTCTTAGAGGAAAACCAAAAGTCCAGGAGGTTAATTAACTTGCCCAAAATCAGGTGGTTATTTAACTGGCAGCGCAGGCTGGACTACAAGCAAGGATAATTTCAGCTCTAGCACAAACTAGATGTATGACCTTAGGATAAACCATTTAACCATACTGGGTCTTAATTTATCAATTCGTTTGAAAGATGAGGAAATTTAAGTGGAAATAAGATACTTTTTTGATTCCTGTAAGATAAGGAAATTCTCAAGAAGGTAAAGGGAGAGGAGAGGTATAGATCAGAAGGACATATAAAACCAATACCTACTGAATTAAAACTTTAAAATAGAACATCTCCTTCACTAATGAAACCCAAGAACATAGGAGTATAGTATTAAATTCTTATGCAACTAGGTGTCAGTGAAGTACTAAGCAACAACTACTCAGCATGACCAGATATGAAAATAAATCACGAAAATACTCTGAAGTCCCTCAACATCCCATGAAACATTAGGTCTCTCCATTATATATGATCACTTTTGAAGACTACGCAGAATTGAGTCATTTTGCAACCAAACATCCCAAGAATTAGCTAGTCTCACAGGTCTGCTTGCTTTCCTTCTCCACTGTAGTTAAAATCACAGCTCACTGTTCCACTGAAACAAAATACACAGCTGAAGCCTTAGTCCTTCAGTGTATAGTATTGTAATGTCACACCACACATAACATCACGATATTGTAATATATCCCAGACCTGTTTCCAATCTATTCTCACACAAAGCCTATCACTAAGTTATCTGCATAAAATTTGGAAACTTAATGGATGTCAAGATATAAAATTCCCTCTATAAGGCATGACATTTAGAAAGATACATACTCAGTCACAGGTAGTTCCTGAACAAATGGATAGCATGTAGTTGCGAAGTTAGGGAAGACACATGCGTCTGAGGATTCTGACCATGCCACATTAAGCACAGCATATTTTGGGACAAACGGTTTGACATCTGCTGATAACTTGATGCTGCCCTGAGGAAAAAAAGGGGGTTTTGGCTACATGCATTCTGAAATCAACTGAAAAAACATACATACAAAAACCCCTCAAATAGATCAAACACCACAAGGGTACAACTGATGCTGAAGAAGAGGTTCCTCATATTTTCGAGACAATTAGAACACATTATTGACCAAAGATTTTTTCCCCTCTATACTTTTTATTAAGTATAGTTTTGAAATATTAGTATCAGTTAAGAGTTCAAAAACTTTGATTGTGATTCAATAAAGTGGGAGAAGAAGAAATCAGGCAAATGCAACTTAAGACTTATATCATGTTTTCAATCTGCTGGAACTTTCAGGCAGGAATTTCTTTAAGTTTCATTTTCAAAACTGGGAAAAGATATATTCATCTCTCATTTTTGGATGTAAAGAATGACTAAGAAAGAATGATAGTTCACTCTGAAAGTTAAAAGTACATATGACAAATCAATAAAAATGCACTCAAACATATGCAAAAATTTATTATAAAAATATGCTAAAAATAAAGTAAAACGCTAACTTTCTGCTAAGTGATCTGTTAATGTCCTTTAATAAATGATCACAGGACTTGCTGAATATAAGTGGAATACTTTGTGAGAACTCTAAATTACCATTTCCTCTTAAATATGGACATATCAGAACCACTAAAATTCATATTCTAGCATAATATTCTATACAATTATCCATAAACAGTACAACTTCTAGAATTGTTTCTTATTTATTCCCTTGTTTCAAGAGTTTTTCTACAACTGCTGCTGCCTTTTATAAATATCATTATAGGAAAATCTTTTAATCAATTTACTCAGCTTTTAGTTAAACCAACCGTTCCCGTCCCCAAAAAACAGAAACATGACACAAAATCCAGGGCTCCATCTAGTGGTTAGAGTTAATCTCAAATATATTTTTAAAGGCTTAAAAAAGAAAACTTTGGGGAATTTTTATAAATTAATTACTTTTTCTTTTGGAGATGCCAAATCCTTGCAGAATTTAGTTGATATCTACCCCACTGTAGGTTGTCACCTACCCTGAAATTTATGCTCTGGATTACAGAGTTGGCCAGGGCAATGATCTGCCCAAAGTAACACAGCCAGCATGCGCCAGAGGCAGCATTTGCACCGAGGGCTTCCTGATTCCAAGGCTAGCTCTCAATCCACTAGGCAGAGCACAGCAGTTACTTTTCCCTCTGCTCTGATTAAGACAACGTTAAATGCCGGGAAAGTGGAGACTACAACGCAACCAACATTTACTGTTATCCTCCCTGTCTGAGAATGTCACACGATGACATGAGTAAATATTCAGATGCGTCACCGACTTAGGTTTTCATCAATCAAAAATATAATAGATTGTTAAAGGCCTGGTAGCAGCATCGCTATGCCCTTATTGGACTTGGGGCCACGGTTATTACTTTAAACTTTGTGTTTTTAAGTGAGCAGAGAACAAACATAAATAAACGAATAAGGGCGCGCAGGCAAGCACCGAGCCGAGGACTACCTCAAGGCCCAGGGGAAAGGCCAGAGACAACGGAGACACCGGGGTCGGGGAGCCAGAGGAGAGACCGGGGTCAGCCCCGCACCCCGGGCCCGGACTCTGGAAGCCGTGAGGGGGGCCGAGGGTCGCTGCAGGGGTGCACGGTCCCTTCCTCCTCCTTCCCGGCAGGGGCGGACAAAAAGGGGGCTTGGGGGAGACACAACCGGACCCAAACCCGCGGAGCCTCAGCGCTCTCGGGAGGGCCGGCCTCCCGGGGCTAACGGGCCGCCAAGTGCCCTCTCTGCCGCCCTTACCTCGTTATCGGGCTCCCTTTTCCCATCCGAGGCCATGGCGGAGGAGGGGTAGGGGGAGGTTGCTCCCCAGGGGAACCCGCAGAGGAGCAAAGACGCCTTCCCTCCTCCTTCCTCCTCCTCCGCCGCCTTCGCTTTCCCTTTTTCCACCGACGCGAGGAAAGTGCGTCACAGAAGCGCGACGCACGCCTCGACGCCGCGCTTCTCTTTCGGCCTGCTCGCCTTCTGCGCGCTTGCGCTCTTCGCCAGAGGCTGGGCGCACGTGGGCTGGACGCACGTGGGCTGGGCGCACGTGCGCTGTTCGCGGTTTGCTGGTGAGAGAGTAGCTCCCCGCTGTGCCACCCGCGGGTATTGTTGCCCACCGCTCTAAAATCCACTGATAGTTCTTAACTTCAGAAAAGGAAAGGGAATCAATTTTTTTTAAAGTATTGATCATTTTATTTTTATTTCCCCTTTCTTTCGAAATACAGGGTGTTCAAAATGTTCCAGTGCAGTTTTGAGCTATTAAAGCTTAAGTAAAAAGTGGTTTTTAAGTATTACTTATTAGTAATAGTAGTTTAATAGTAAAATATTACTGTTTTAAGCTATTAAAGCTTAAAATATTTCTTGGGTTTTTAATAATTATGGTAATTAGTTGTTAAAAATACCATTTTAAAGATAGTAAAACTTTTAAACTACTTTTTAAGGTTAAAGTGCACTAAGATATTTTGGCGCTGTATCCCTCCCCTACCCAGCAACATATTCTTTGTGACAAAAAAGGGGGGGGGGAACAATTCAGCAAAATTTGATACAACACGTCAACTGTGTCAGATAGCATCATGCAAAGAAAATCAGGATGTTGAGCTGTACCTTCCTAAGTTAGAATTATAAATTGTATGAGAGAAGACAGGTCACAGATTTTTAAAAAGCAAATGTTAATGGATCAGGTACTCTGTGCATGATGGGGGATCATGGGGGAAATACAACAGTCTTAATCCCTTAGTTTTACTTAGGAATCAAATTTTTACTTGCTGTTAATCGTAATAACAGGTAGCATGGAGGAGTAAATAAAGAATTGACCCAGGAAGACCTGAGTTCAAGTCCCACCTCTGACACATACTGGTTGTGTGATTCCAGGTAAATCACTTAATCTCTCATTGCCTCAGATAATTGTAAGGCTAAATAAATTGCAGAAAAGGTTAGGACTTTCATTGGTACAGGAAATTTTTCACTTGAGAGTTCCCTGTATCAATTAAATCATAGGTCCAATCACTGTCACTAATAATGATGAAAATAATAGGGTCCCCACTGACCAGGCAGACATGAATGGGATACCAAACAGCATCACTGAGGCAGAAGTCAAATCACAAAATCACAGATCCATAAGAATAGTAATAATAAAAGCTGAACAGCCCACTAAATAGAGTGTTAGACTGGAGAAATAACATGGGTTCAGATCCACCTCTGACACTATCTCTGTGACTTAGGAAATTACTTAACCTCCATCTGCCTTAGGCAACTCAGAATTATGCCACAAAATTTCAGAGTTGTATGGGACCAACCACACCCTGAATACAGTAGAATCCCCTCAACAACACAACTGAAAAGTGGTTATGTCGTCTTTTTCCTGGTGGGACCTACTACCGCTGCCCTTGGAGGCAGCCTGGTCCACTTTTTGGAGAGCATTGAAGTTATGAAAGAGTAACCACCTCTAAGGGCCATAAAGTCCCCTGGGATTTGAAGTTCTTTCCAGTTTGTAAAGAAGGGAAACTAACACAAGATCAGCACCTCCTACTCCCCCCAGCAATGGGGCAGAAGCTTTTACCTAGGACAACATCATTAGAATTGAGGGGTTCTTAGGGAGAACAAAGAGAGAAGGGAGAGCTAGTCCCATAAAGACAGAGTAACCAGGCCAGCAATATCTGCACATCTGCAGTGCCCTTCTTTCAGACTGAGAGGTGTGTGTGACTTAGTGTGTTTGAGGAATGGAGAGAGAGGAAGAGTCAAGGACACCATCTACATTGTGAGCTTGCCTGGGTGAAGAGTTTCAATGGAATAATGAGGTCAGAAGCCAGATTGTAAAGGGTTAAGAAGAGAGGAAAGAAAATGGAGTCACTCTTTTGTAGGTGACCTTTTAAAATATTTAAGCCATAAAGGGCAAATAGGATGATGTGGGGATATATGGATTGAGTGAAGGTTTTTTTTGAGTATGGAGGCAACATAGGCATGTTTATAGGCTGTAGAGAAATAGCCAGTAAGCAGGGAGAGATTGAAAATAAGTGACAGAGTAGGAATGATAGAAGGGGCAGTCTGTTGGAGGGGATGAGATGGATAGGATCATCTGGGCAGGTAGGTGTTAGGCTTGGTAAACAGTAAGGTTACCTCATCATGTGAGACCAGGAAGAAGGAAATAGTGGCAGAAGATATATAAATGATAGGAGAGAGGAAGAGGAGAGAAAAGGGAGCTCAAGGAGAATAATCTCAATATTTTCTGTAAAATATGAGGCAAAGTTCTCAGCTGAGATAGTGAGGGAAGCAGAATCCAGATGGCAGCCATGGCAAAACCATGTTTTGGCCAATCCAATGAAGAGCATGGAGGTGGGGTGGAGGACAGATGGAAGAGTATGGTAAAAAGTCCCAAACCAGGAAATGAGTTTGGAGATATGAATTAATTGGGGGGGGGGCGGGGAACCTCTTAATACAGTTGTAGCAGCCCTTCTTGAGACAGATTCTGTTTCCTCTAAAGGCTAGAGGAGTGATCTAGACCCTCACTGAGAATTCTAGGAGCATGAATTTTTGCTGTAAAGTATTAGGACATTTTGATTGGACTGTGTGAGATTTTGACACAAGCCCAGGAAAAGGTTGGAACTGAGACACAGAGCTAAGAGAAACAGAGGCCTGGTAGCAAAGACCTGTCAACAAAGATGTCCATCAATTGAGGAATGGCTAAACAACATTATGGTAAATAAATATAATTAAATATTACTGTGGTATAAGAAGTAATGAGAATAGCATTGAGGGATTAAAAGTGTGGGTCAGTACATATAATGATACTTTTTCAACACGTTAGTAAGTTTTGCTGAACTTATTATAAGGGCTAGATACCTGACCTCTCAGGTATTAAATATCGGGGAGGACATATAGTGAGAAAGGTAGGGAATGTAAAAAAAAAGATATCAATAAATGTTTATAAAAGAAATATATTATTTAACAGAGAAATAGAGGCAAGGAGAGGGGAAGGGAGCCTAAAAAGGGCTGAGTGCTAAGAGGTAGGATAGAATTGGGAAGAATCACATGCAAAACAAACTTCAAATAGGGAGGGTTGATCATAAGAAAGGAGATTTTTTAAAAGGTATTAAGACCCAGTAATCAGAATATAGGCTAGGTGAAGAGAGCAAGGTGAGGTGGGGGGTGGGAGTGGGGGAAGTAAATCAAAGCATTCTGTTGGCGAGGGGAAGAAGGGGAGAAGGTGAATTCACAGGTATGAGGAGGTGACTCACATTCCCTACCATTCTCCAGAACTCTCTTCCCTTATTTATATACTTCTATATAGTTTATATAGAAGAGGCATGAGAAAGGAATGCACATAAACTCTAGATTCATCCCCATTAGGGGTGCAGGTTCCCTTAAGGACTCATGCCTGCTTTTGCTAAAGCTAAAGCATACAATAAACTTTTTGTTTGACTAAGATAAGTCTTGAGTGTGTGAACTCATTTCAGGCAATTCTGCCTTGGATTTTCGGGTCCCAGCGACCCAAAACCTGGTCAGTGTGACTGACTGGTCAGAAGGATATGTTGATTCACATGACAGAGGGACACACGTGAAGCCCAAATACCCATGCACTCAGAATTTATGCTTCAGATGATCAGGATGTTATGTTGGAAGTTTGAATCAAATTAAGTCTCAAGAATGGTTTCATTGCCTTCTAGTCTATGTGGTAAGGATCTTCATGTTAATAGATATTATCCCTGTTACACCCTACCCCTTGATGGTAAGGCGCTAAAAGTCTTTTAGGGGACTTTCCATCACATTAGTTTTAGTACCACTAATCACCAGTACTGGGCAACATCAATGCCCCCAGCAAATGGAGCTTCTTTCTTTTCTCTGCCCACCAGACTGTGGCAATATGATGGAGAACTTAGGTTGGGATTTCCCATTAGGTTTCCCATACTTGGGAAAGTATGGCAAAGGTATATTGGATTCTCCCAGTGAAGAAAACTATTCCTGACTAATCTTAGCTATAAGAATAGATAAAAAGGCATTGAGATTGACAATTCCATGCTTCTCACCCAGTGTTACAGTGACCAGTGTGACTTGATCCAATAATCTGTGGTACACTAAGCCAGGAAGTGCTATTTTCTTTGCTGGACACATAGGTGTTGTAAAGGGGAGGATCTCCTCTTGTCCTCTAACTCCATGCCCTCAGCTCATCTACATATGTGTGCACACACATACACAGTGTCTCTGCATCCCTCTGCCTGTGTGTGTGTGTAACTTGTAACTTAATGGAATAAAGGGGAATGGAAAAGAGGAGGGAAAAGTACTCAAATGGCTGCAGCGACAGGCTGCAGTGATCAAAAGGTAAGTGATGAAAATTTACTTGTGGGAGATAAGGCTTCTTGCCACTAAAGAAGTGTATTCAGCACATTATATACATCATATCCTTCTAATGCTGTAGCTTCCCCACTGCTTACATCCATCTCAGTTGGTAGGGAGCTTTGACTCAGGTCATTATTTTGTTAACTATCCAAGAAAGCTCAAAGTTTCCATTTTGGCCCCATCTACAACTAGCAAAGAGGCTGCCTTAACCAACCAACCACAGGTACTGACTTTTCCAAGAGTTTATGTCCCTTTCTTCCATGGTCTGCTCCCTAAAATCCCTATGAAAATTCAATGGACCTGTTTGAAGGGGTTTTCTAGAATAACCTTATAATGTGGCTGATTTTCAAAAAAAGGGGCCTGGACTTTGGGGGATGCGATTGAATGACCCTTATTGCTGCACCATCCTGGATATTTCAAGTTGCATTTATACCTCCACAGGCTAGTCATTTTTCTCATCAACTTCATGTTTCCAGAGCCACATCCAGAACTCTGATTTTGCCCTCCCATATGCTTGTAGTCACTTTAGCTGTCTGATCTTCTACTTAAATGTGCTGGTTCACCCCATACCTATGTGGTATGATAATG